TCCGTGACAGAGCTGAATGTGGTGGCCCAGCACTCGGGAGACCGAGGCAGGAGGATTGCCGAGAATTCCAGAGCAGCCTGGGCTATGTAGGGAGACCCTGTTTCAGAACACACACACACACACACACACACACACACACACACACACACCACAGTTCTGTGATAACACCATTTCACCTTCACAGTTGATCCTTGGTTTTTTGTTTTTTTGGTACCGTGATGGAACTCACAGCCTGGTGCCTGCCAGGGAGGTGCCGTGCCACTGAGCAAGGTCCCCAGACCTGACCATTGTTTTTAAAACATGTGATTGCCAGTGATGATGATAAAAGTAATTCAGATGACAGCAGGCGCGTTCAGGGTGCAACGGCTGGAGACAGTAAAAGTAATTTAATAGAAAATGAAAGCTGACATCTCAAGGCTACTCATTTGCACCATGAATCAAACCCAAGGCTTGGTCTGCTCTCAGTTGCCATAACAACCCAACAAGTGAGTTCTGTTCTTGACCCATTTTCCAGATGATCAGGCTTTACCCTGCCTGTGTGTGTGATGCTCTCCAGGTCACCAGATCACTTTCCTCTTTCGCTCTGTGAGCCAGCCTTGCTCACTTTCCCCGCACCACCCCAGGGCCTTTGCATGTGCCATGTGCTCAGGGATCGTCCCTTCTTCTCTCCCTGAAGCACCAGCCTGGCTTCCCCCTCCCCTCCATTTCTCCCCAGGCCTCACAGTGGTGCTGGCTGTACCTCCTTGGGGAGCCCTGCCCTGACCCACATCCTGACCCCTGCTCTCCACTCCCAGCCCTGTCTTCTAGTCCCAGGATCTTGGGTCACACCCAAGATGTGTGGATACTTTAATATCGGCTGGGGGCTTTGGAACGCAGGGACTCTGTGTGCTTTGGTTTTAGTTCCAGTCTTTGCTTAGCCAGCATGTGGCTGCCCTGGTTGGGAGTTAGGGTTAGGGGTTTGCTGAGGACACGTGGAGCCCAGACAGTCTGTGACACCTCCCACAACTCCTCCCCAAGTGGGCAGCTGATGTGCAAGAGGCTGAGGCAGGAGGGTCACTCTGAGCTCAAGGTCAGCCTGAGCTACATAGTGAGTTCAAGACCAGCCTGAACCACAGAATGAGACCCTGTCTCAACAAAACAAAATCAGAGAGACAGGCAGACAGACAGACAGAGGCAGAGAGACTGAGACAATCTTATTTTCTCTGTATGCGAGCACTTCTTAACGTGTGACTTTTAGACCTGGATCGGGAGAGCACTGCTGGCTCCCTGAGCGCTCAGCCTCCAGCCATGGCAGTTTTCAGCTGTGGCTGAGCTTTAAAAAGTCCTAGGTCAGGCACAGTGCCGAGGGATGTCGTGCAGTGCTGTGGTCCTGGAGTCAGTGCCGTTCCATGAAAAACAAAGAATAAGAGGGCCCAGTGGCAGCGCAGTGGGAGGGCAGGTGCCCGGCAGGTGCCCGAGGTCCAAGGCTTGCATGCCAGCTGGAAGTCACCTGAGGTGCGCTCTGAGGACCCGTGCCTCACACGAGGCAGGCAGGCGCTTGGCCACCCGGCCATACCCCAGTCCTTTCCTCACCCTGAGACAGGGCCTTACCGAGTCACCCAGACTGGCCGCCAACTTGCAGTCCTCCTGCCTCAGCCTCCTGAGTACCCTGGATCCTGGGTGCACGGCCCCAGCAGGGCACAGAACTTCCCAGGGGCTCTGAGCAAGTGTGGGCGGAGACCCCTGAGCCACACCCAGGCTGATTACGCAAGGCGCCACAGAGGTTCTGAGCTGGGTCCCTCATCCGGAGAGCACCACAACACTGTCCCTTGTAAGCGCTGTCACCCTCTATACACACGTGTGTGACACAGGGTCTGGCTACCATATGTAGCCCAGTCTGGCTTTGAACTTGCTGTAATCCTCCTGCCTCCCAGAGTGCTTGATTACAGGTGTGCACCACCATGCTTGGCTTCAGATTCTTATTTTTTAAACATGATTTGACACTAATTCCTGGTCACCTTAAGGGGAACCCTGCATCCTTAAAAACAGCCCGGTGATGCATCCTTGAGGTGGCGAAGTGAGACAGTGATTGTCTAGAGTTGAGATGTGATAGCTGGGCCTCTAGCAGCCATCTCGGGCCATGAGGCAACCTTGGACACAGGAGGCAGAGACTGTAAACAACAGAGCAAAAAGATGGGTGCCAGGATCCGGGAGTGCAGGGTCTCTGCGCCAGCTGCGTCCGGGCCACACGCCAGGCTTCTGTTTCATCAGAGACATGAAATTCTACCTTCTGTTTTGTTTCTCTGCTGTTGTTTGCAGTCAAACCCAACCCTCCGCGAGGCTCTGCGGCCGGCACAGTGAACTCTGTCCTGCGTGCAGTGCTGGGGCCCCAGAGCTTGGTGGTGTTAGGTGACTCAGGACAGGGTGTGAGTTACAGAAGGTGGAGAAAGGAGAGGTGGCCTGGGGACAACACAGCATCATCTACCCGGAGTGAGCATGGTCCTGCAAGTAAACAGGAGTCGGGAGGGCCCTGCAGGGGGTGCCGTGGGGGAGGGAAGGGAAACAAGGCCCCAGCGCAATGGAGCATGCCTGGAGTCCAGCACTCAGGAGGGGAGGCTGAGGCAGAAAATGGCTGTGAGTTCGAGGCCAGCCTGGGCTACGGAGTGAGCTGAAGGCCAGCCTGAGCTGCATAGCAAGGCCTTGACTCAAAAAGACAAAAAAAAAACAAGCAGAACACAGATGAGAGCACCATGCAGAGCATATGCAAAGCCATGGGTTCAACCCCCAAGAAAGAAACCAAAGTATGGACTCACTGCAGGGCCCACTGGGTCCCTCGGTGATGGCAGACACTCCCCGGCCCCACCCAACTGCTCTCACCAGCTCTGTCCCTTGTGCTCAATGCCAGCTCTCCAGAGCCTTGCTCAGTTCATGTTTGCTGAGTGAATAAACGTTTTATGTGACTAAAGCTGTGGAAACTATTTTCCTTGAGCTGATGCCAGGCTGAGGGAGCTGAGGTCACTGGCACTGAACGGGAACCATGAGGCTCCAGGCCTTCATAAGGACTCCCGGGGCTTCCCTCCTCCCAGAGCGCCGTGGGGTCTGCACTGCTGGCGGAAAGACAGGAGCCGGGCAGGTGGCACGTGTGGCCAGGATGAGGGAGGGGTACCGGAAGCTGAGGCTGAGGCAAGCGGGTTGCCTGGAGTGCCAAGCCAGCCTGGGCTACATAGCGAACAGCGACTGTACCCTGAGGCCCTGCCCCGCACAGGGTGACACCTGCCAGGCAGGACAGACTCAGGGCGGTGGGGGGTCCAGGGCCCAGGTGGGGCCGGGCCCTGGACTGCACGGTTCCCCCTTTCTGTGGCTTTTATGTTAGGCCTGTTGCTCCCCACCCCCAACCTGAGCTCCACTGCAGGGGACCCCAGGGCCTCCCCGCCTCAGCTCTGCCCGGGGCTGCCGGCACTGGTCCCCCCTTCATCCACAATGACTGCCTCTTGTGCCTGGAGAAACCGAGTCAGGGCCTGGGCGTGCGTGCGGCTTTTCCCCTGTGTCAGCGCCGCGGCGGTCCCTGTCCCTAACTGGGACAGACGCGGCCGAGGAAAAGCTGAGCACATGGCCTACTTTGGGCGGGTTAATTACGGGTTCGGAGTGGTGTTTTCCTGTCATTGTAACTGGCTGGGCTTGGGGACAGTGCATCCCGGGACACCCTGGACCCTCCGCTACTGCCTCTCCACCTGTGGTCAGAGGCATCGTGGGTGGGAGGGGTGATGGGCAGTGCCAGGCTCCAGTGGCACAGCTGCCCGTCACCTGTGTGGGCGAGAGGGACCTGAGACTGTGGCAGGTCGCCAGTGGGTCTTCCAGGCCTTGTCTCTTCCCTCCCATGGGGGCCTCACTGCCTGCCCTGTGCGCACACACACACACACACACACACAAAGACACTCACACAGGAGTGTGTACACACAGGCTCAGAAGACACCCCTCTCCAGGAGACCCAGTTCTCTTGGCCGGTCTGCCAGGCAGGCAGGGCAGCATGATGGCTCCTTCCCCGTCCCGTTGCCCGAGAAGGAAAGACAACACTGAGAAAGTTTTGCCCTCCTGGATCTGATTACTTGTTGGGTGAGCCCCGCCCATATACATTTCCCAAGGGGCACCGCTGCCAGGCACCCACAGCCGCCCCCTGGGACTCCAGGGAACTGTTTCTCAGGGGGCCTTAGGGGAGTCCCTGCCTCCCGGGTCTGGGCTCTTCCATGCCACCCTGTGTTTGTCCGGTGTATCCCTTGCCACTGCCTGTGACAGGTGCCTTGGCCCCTCTCCTCTGTGTGGGCTTTGCACCTCTGACCTGGTGGCTTTTGAGAACACTTGCTTGCATTTTTTTTTCTTTCTGGTTTTTTGAGACAGGCTCTCACTCTGTAGCCCAGGCAGGCATGGGACTTGTGGCGACCTCCCTGCTTCTGCCTCCTGAATGCTGGGATTACAGGCCATGCTGCACCGCAGCAGGCTCTCACTTGCATTTATTGGTCTGCCTGAGTGCTCTCCCGAGGAAGAGGAGGTGGCCAGCATCCAGGGGCAGAATGCGCACCCTGACAGAGAGAGAAGTGTGGCAGAGCTGGCCCTCACCTGTCACCTCGCACCCAGGCTCCTGATGGCCCCACGTCAGCAGGCAGCCTGGCTGCAGCATGAGACCCTCTCTCAAAAAAAAAAAAAAAAAAAAAAAATCCATAAGCAAAATCCAGGCAGAGAGCAGGGGAACGGATTGACATGGCGTCAGGGTGGGACAGGGACTCCAGCCCCACCAGCCCCGGCCCTGCACAGTGCTGGGAGCTGAGTCGCAGGGCAGAGGACAGAGCAGGGCAGAGCCGAGCCTTCAATGCCCTCCACTCCTGGCTGGGAAAATCTCACCAAGCCTGGAGCAGAGATGCTGTGAGCTCGAAGCCCTTCCTCGAGGGGAAACCCAGGCCCCCTGCACATTACCAGGGTCCTGAGGCTCCAGCCAGTCCTGCTTCCTCCCTTCTCCCGTTCTGTAGGTGACACCCACAGCATTGAAGGTCTCGGACCCCAGGACAGCGCCACTGAGCCCCTGCGGCCTGCCTCCCCGCTGTCCCCTGCCAGCCTAGCAGAGGACGATGTTCGGCCCTGGTGCCCATCACCGCAGGAGGTGACAGAGCTCTTGCACAGCCTGGGAGCCCAGAGCCCCGCCACATACAGCAGGTGGGTACCAGGCCTTCCTCGCAGCACCCCTTCCCTCCTGCACCCCCTTCCCTCCTATTTCAGCTGTGTGCAGGCTCCAGCCCAGGTTATTATTGATTTTTTTGAGACAGGCTCTCATTATATACTTAAGGCTGGTCTTGAACTCATTTTGAAGCCTAGACTGGCTCTGAATTCATAGTGGTCCCCCTGCCTCAGCCTCCAAGGCACTCAACGATTCCCATCAGGGAAAGGCTCACAGCAGATCCCAGGAGGCACTTCGGTCCCCTTGGAAGTGGAAGTGGCCATGGGGACTTCACGGCCCAGGTTGCACCCCACTCTGCACAAAGCCATTTCCTCTTTCCCGGGTTCCCCAAGATTTGACTGCTTCCTGACCTTCCTGCTGTAGAGGTAGGTGCTGTTGGAACCATGAACCCAGCGGCTGAGCTGGGGATCTCCTCGAGTTTGAGGCTAGCCTGGGCTACACAGTGAGTTCAGGGTCAGTCTAAACTCATGGTGAGATCCTGTCTCAAGAACCAAAAAGAACCGTGGCCCAGAAACGCGTTGTTTCCCGTCCTCGGGTGCACGGGGCCCAGCACATGGACTCCCCTCCAGGGGCACAGTGAAGCCCCTGTGGGAGGAGGGCAGAGCCGGGAGGTCCTGGGAGGCTCAGAGCTGCCAGTCCATGGGGCCGCCTTCCCAGGTGTGGCTTCCCCACTGCGTCACACACTCCTCACTCCCCAGGCCCCAGTCCTCAGCCTCCCCAGGACTGACAGTGGGAGTCGTGGTACCTGGGCTTAGGGGCTCCTGCCTGGAGACCCCCCCCCCCCCGCCCTGGGCACCCTCACCCCGATCCCCGCAGCAGCCTGTCTGTGCTGCCAGTTCTGTATCAGGCCTTTCTCTTACCTGTTGGCGTTGAGGACACCCCTAGCAGCACAGGTGCCTCGTGGGTCCCTCAGGGACACCCACAGGTTCTCAGTGCCCATGGCTCGGGGTCTGTGCAGAGCTCTACACCCTGCTCACCTCTTGGTTACTGCGAGAAAAGCACCTTCCATGCTTTGTGCCTAGTCTCGGGTTTCCCATCGCCTTCTCGCCTCTAAAATGGGCTTCAAGATTTCCTCTCCAAGGGCTGGGGATTTAGCTCAGTGGCATAAGCGCCTGCCTTGCAAGCAGGCAGTTGTGAGTTCGATCCCCGGTACTGATAAAAAGGAAAAAGACCCCAAAAAAAAGATTTCCTCTCCAGCTGGGCTTGGTGGTGCATGCCTGTGACCCCAGCACCCAGGGGAGGCTGGGGCAGGTGGGCCTGGGCTAGTGCATTCAGTGCCACCCTGAACTGCATGGCAAGGCCTTATCTCAAAAAAAGAAAAAGAATTCCCTCTGAAGACAGCCCTGCAGCTGGACTGTGTGGACCTTCTGACGCTACCTTGTTGAAGAGACAGTGTCCCTGTTGGGGAGGGAATATCAAGGGTCAAAGAAGAGAGACCAGCATGTGGACATGAGCAGAAAGGGTTGTGCCCGGAGGGGACCTGCTCCCAGGCCATCTCCCCTGGGCTGCCTCGGGGGAGTGCCCAGGCTGCTTCCTGGCCCCTGGCCCTGCTCGGAGCAGCCGGGCACAGGCCCAGCAGTTAGACCACCTGGGCCTCAGCAAGGGCGCCCTCTGCAAGGCCCAATGGATCTGAGGGACCGACCCCTGGCACATGGGAAGGACGAACTCCCCAGCATGGGGGCCATAGCACCTGGCCTTCCTGCAGTGTCATCTGCTCAAGGTAAACCAGCTCAGCGTGGTCTCCTCTGGACGACACTACAGCGTGGCCCTGGCATAGGGGGCAGAGGGACAGCCCCCGACTGCCACCAGACAGCTCTCCAAAGGTGTGTCCCTGTGAATGTCACAGTGCTGCATGGACACTGTGTCACTGTTAGTAACCCACACGTGGAAGCAGAGGGAGAGGCCAGCCACAAGCTCCTGGGATGAGCTGTCACTTCTCGAGGATCGAGCAGTGTCGCTGAGACCCAGATCCAGCTTCTGGAGGCCGGTTGTCACAAGTTGTGAGCCCTGATTCCGGGGCTGGGGATGCCGGACACGGAGGCTGCTTTGCCCATGGGATAGGACTGTGGGGCCTTAAGCAGCTCTGAGCCCCTGGGCAGGAGAGGCGTGGGTCTACCAGGCCACACGTGCCATGCTCCATGACCCTGCACTGGTGCCCTAGCAGAGTCCCAGGGACAGGTGTTCTGGGATAGTGGTCACGGGTGGCAGCACTTGACTCAGAAAGCAGGACATACAGGGCACCTGGCATGTGGCTGTCCCCAAGGTGGGGACTGAGGAGAACGCTGGCTAGGGAGGCCTGGAACCTCCCAGGGAGGCACAGACCTGTGGTGCTGGGGCAGTGCCAGCCCCACCCATGCTAAAACCTGAAACCCAGAGGGCTCCAGCCTCAGCCTTCGCTCCGCCAGCCTTGATTCGTTGGCAGCACCAACTTTCCAGGTAGCTGGGAGATGGATGTGTCCTCTTCTCCTCTGAGAAGTGACACCAGCACCAAACTCAGTGAACACAGACTTTTCCCCCAGAGTTGTGGAGCGATGCTCTTAGCTGGGTGTGGTGATCCAAGCCTATGGTCCCCGCACTCACAAGGCTGAGGCAGGAGGATTGCCACCAATTGAGGTCAGCCTGAGCTACCTAGCAAAACCATGGCTCGAAACAAAGACAAAAATCTAACAAACAAAAAAGAGTGGGACTCTTCACTCCCGTAATGGCGCCCACCCTAGTCACAAAGTCACTTATTTCAAATCAGCTGTGCACAGTGGACCAGCAGAGGAGGATTTAGTAAGGGCTTGCATGGCTCCGTGTCCTACCTGACTCCCTGTGCCAGAAAGTCAGTGTCATGTAACCCCTGGAGCTCTGCTGACTTGCTTGCTAGGAGTGTCCCCCCAACACCACAGCGGGACCTCACCAGGCTCATCCCTACACAGATTGTCAGGCCTAGCGCACCCCAGGAAGGGTTCACCCTCTCTGCACCCCGGCCCGGGGATGGGGAGCCCTGGGTGTCAGAGGAGGAGGCAGTGAGGGAGCCCGGGAGGCCCTTGCAGCTGGGAGCTGGGGTTCCCAGGCAGGGCCCAGGCCCCACGCTCACCTTGGCACTCGGCCCCCCTCCTCCCTCCTTTCTGCTTCCTGTTTTCCATCTCTGTCTCTGCCCCTGCCTCACTGCCTTTGGGAAGGCCAGCTGCCCCGGAACCCTGCAGGGGCCTCTGTGGTGAGGAACTGGCAGCTGCCACTTGGTGACCCCACAAGTGGGCCAGAGGGGACTTCAGCCGCCCAGCCACTTCCACCTGGACCTGGCCGCATACCCTGAGCCACCTCTAGACTCCCAGAACCTGCAGGAGGTGATACATGCCATCTTTATGCCTTGGCATTTGGGGCAACCTGACACATGTGTGTGCGTGCACATACACACACCGGCACACACAGCAACGGCCGGCCTGGAAGGCTGGCTGTCCGGAGTCCTGCCTGCCGCTCTGCCCCGTGCCCCTCAGGCCTGGCTCCTGGGACCCCTTGCCATTGTGTCCCAGCTGTTTCTGTCTCACTGCAGGACCCCCGACTGGCAAGGTAGGGAGCAGCAGGAAGCGACCCAGGAGGTGGCCTTGGACTCGAGCCTGAGCAACATCTACAAGGTGAGTTGCCCTCTGGCCGCTGCAACCCGCAGCCAGATGCCGGCTGGTCCCCAGTTGGACCTAGCTTGCTGTTCATTCCCGCCCGGCCTGGTCCCCGTCTTCTTCGCTGTCCCTGTCCCCCCACCCCGGCCGCCACCCTACCCTGTTGCTCTTCCTCACAGTTCCTGACGCTGTGTGTCTACCTCCGGCCAGGCGTCTACACGGACGCCAGCCTCCTGGGCCTCATGGAACTCCTGTGTCGCACTGGCCTGGACACGGGGCTCCGCCTGCTGCCCCAGACCAACCTCCAGCAGCTTCTGCTGCAGCTGCTGGAGTGCATCCGAGAGTGGCCGGGCAAGGTGTGCCACCCCTGTTCCTCCCCCGGGGGGCTGGGTGGCAGGTCGGGAGGCGGCGATCTTGGGCAGCCCATGGTCACTGTCCCCATGCCCACAGCTGCCGCGCCTCTGCCGCGCCCTGAGCTGGGTGTCCGACCACCACCACAACCTGCAGGCGGTGGTGCAACTCTTCCCGGATGTGACCCCGAGGGGCAGGTGGGTGCCACCCCTCCCCGCCTCCCACCCCTGCCTCAGGCAGAGCCAAAATTACAAAGCACAGATGACTTCTTCCCAACAGACCGAGAAAAGCCCAATTCTCCTAAAGTGGTGTCATTAGCCAGGCAGCTGCCTGGAGGAGCTTCCTGCAGTGCCTCCCCATCCCCACCCTCACCCCCGCCCCCGCCACAGCTGTCTGCAGAATTACCTCGATGTTTCTTCCCTGTCTGTGGCTGTCCCTCCACACCAGCAAGTGCCTCCTTGAGGTCCCTGCCCTGTCACCCCCACATCCAGGCTGATACCCAGCCAGCTGTGGGTGCTTGGGAAATTCTTTTTGAAAGATTGATGATGAACGAGGTAAACAAACAGTTTATCCCAGAAAGAGATAAATCACTGGGCCGAATCAGGCGTGGCAGTGCACGCCTGTGGTCTCTGTAGTCTTAGCTGTTTGGGGAGGCTGAGGCAGGAGGGTGCCAAGTTTGAGGCCAGCCTAGCAGCTTAGCCCTTGTCTCAGAAATTTAAAACAGGCCCAGAGTATCGCTGAACGGGAGACAGCTTGCCTAGCTGTATGAAGACCTGGTTTCAATCCTTAGTACTGAAAAAATAAAGGAGGAGGCAGCGGCCTCTCCACGGTCCTGAAGGGAATTTCCACACTGCACAGGAGGCAGGCTGTGGGGAGCCCTGCCCAAGGCACCCGCCCAGCTCAGACCCTCAGACTGCTTCTCATCTGAAGAGGCTTAGCCCTGCCCAGGCCAGAAACAATCCTAGAGGTCACTCCATCACCACCTTATCACCTTCCTTATCCCTAAATCTTGTGCTTAGCCAGACTTGGAGGCACATACCTGTAATCCCAGCCCGCCAGGAGGCTGAGGGAGGAGGATTGAACGGTCACGGGCAGTCTGGACTAGCTAGTGACTTAGCAAGACCCTGTCTCAAAACAGGATTTAAAAGGGGGCTCAGGATGAAGCTCAGTGTATAAATCCTGGGTTGAATCCCCAGAGCTGAAGAAGAAAACCCCCCAGCCACCCCCTCCTCACCCCTTTGCTGCCCTTTCTTCCTCTCCTCTGCTGGCCCTCCTCCCACCCAGAGGCTGTGCACTCTGCAGACGCCTGTGGGTGCTGCAGTTGTGATAGGGGGAAAGGAACCCCAGTCTAGTGGCTGTTCAGTATGAGTTCTTGTTCTCTAAAATCTATGAATGAATTTGTTATTGTTGTTGTTTTGAGACAGGGTCTCACTATGCACTTCAGGCTGGTTTTGAGCTCATTTTGTAGCCCAGGTCTTGAATTTGCAACAGTCCTCCTGACTCAGCCTCCTGAGTGCTAGGATTATAGGCGCGAGCTGGCTTCATTGCTGGAAGAATGAATTTTAGAACAATGGAGGATAAGCGTAGAATATACTTATTGAAAGAAAGTTTCCCTCTGAGAGAGACAGAAAGGGTCCCGAGTGGATTGCCAAAGACCCTACCTTTTCCAGGAATTTTATAAAGCAAAACTACAAGGTCAAGTGAGTCCACAGTGGGGACAAACAGGAATTCCTGAGGTGAGCATGAGGTGGGGCAGCACTATAGCCAACCAATAAGATCATGAGTATAATTGCTCAGGTGAGATTGATTGGCTTGGGATCCAATAGGGAAGTGAGTCTCGTAGCAAGGGGGTGGTTTGAATACAATACAAGGCCTTTAGCTGTAGGGGTTGGATTAGTGGCTCCCTGGAGCTTCCTCAGGGTGATAAGACTGTCAAGGTCCTACCTATTTAGAATACCAGACCCTGCGTTTACGCCCAGGGTGTGGCTGCATTTGTTTTGCCTTTTGTCTTGAGATCTGGCCTGAATTGGAGGTGTCTGTCTTCCCCATGGTTGTAAGGTATCTGAGCTTCTGCACTGGCTCTTTGTCTGACTGCCTATAATATTTCTAACTAACTTAGCTGCCTATAGCAGTTCTGCCTTGCTGCACTGCCTTCCACCTGCCTAGCCAGGGCCACAGCCTGAGGCTGTCACCAAGGCCCCTGTGGTCCAGCTCCCTGTGGTCCACCACCCTGTGGTGTCACCTAAGGTTGTTTTCCTCAAATCTGCATCTTATGCATCTGGAATGGGTCCTTTCTTTTCATAGCTGCATAGTATTCCATAACAGGCATGAAACCAGTCCTTAGCCCTGTGCATTGCCTCTAGGGACTGCCTGCCTGTGCCAGCTTTGGGCACCTCTGCAAATACTTCTTTATGAGGAACTCCTTGAGGGGAAATTGCCATCCTGAAGCTGACATCTTTAAATTTGGGCATAAAAACAGTAAAGCTAGACTAGTTTCAGTAGGCAGTTACACAGATGGCAATGTGTGGACATTCTCGTTCACACCACATCTTCCAGTCAAGCCGCAGTCAGCCCTGAAGGAGACCTGTCATCCCATGACTCCAGTTCTTCCTTCCTGATAGCCAGGACAGTGGTTCTCTTTCTGCTTCTCAACCTTTGTGGTACTTTGACTATAAATCACGGTAGGGCTTCTTGCCTGTCCTCCTGTCAGGTGTGATTTACCTTTTTAATGACATGACTGCATTACTCAGTACGCATGTTGCAAGCTCTGTATTGTCCTATGTTTTCTCCTGCGGTTCTGAGTTGTCTTTTATTTATTCATGTAGTTGTAAATTGTCATTTTTAAATCTTCATGTGTCCTATCATCTAGCGAGTGAGCTGCATGTTTGCTTACTGGTTTTGGCTTTTTTCCTTTGTTGTTTTGTTTTTTAATCAGGATCTCCCCACGGAGCTCAGGCTGGCCTCAACCTCAGGCAGACCTCCTGCCTCAGCCTCCAGAGTGCTCAGATCTAGATGTGCAGGAGAGAGACACGGATGATGCAGACTGGGACTCTTGTGTGATTAAATCTTGGTGTCTGGAGCAGCAGGCTTTCCCCACCCCTAAGGCTGCAAAGAATCTGGTCCTATTTTCTCCCAGGACGTGGTAACCTTGTTCCTAGCGGCTCCCCACCAAATTTCTTTTTCTTAGGCCGGAGGCAAGGACTGAACCCCAAAGAGCACGTGTACCTGAGCCCGTCTTTCAGATAAATCATCTTCCTTTTCCAGTAGCTCTGAAGCAGCCCCTGTCCTGCACCAAACCTGTTCTGCTGCTTGGTCCTCTGCCAGTGTGGGGACCACAGTGCAGGAGACGTGTCGGCCCAGGGGCCAGCAGAAGTGGCCTTTAGTGCTAGAAACGTGTCCTCCGTCTGCCTTTGGGACAGACGCCTCTGCTGGCTGCTGCCTCAGACCAGGAGCTTAGGATTTGTTGTTTATTTATTTGACATGGGGTCTCCTTGTGTAGCCCAGGCTGGCCCTGAACTTACAGCGACCCTCCTGCCTCAGCCTTCCTCATCCACATGTCCAACTGGACGTGCTCGGGAGGAGGCTTCCTCATGGGATGAGTGTTATTTATGTAGACTTTTTACCTTATTGAATTTCCTGAATGGATAAAGCCTTCAAGGGGTGCTGAATTCAAAAGGTGCAGAGAGGTAGACAGTGAAACGCACCCCTCCTGGCCCCAAGCTGCCTGCTGGCACCGCCTCTGAATGCTGTGAGCGGGTGTGCACGTCCGGGCCCCATCTAGCAGCTCTTCCCCCACCAGCCAACGACTTCTTCTCTTCCCCGGCCTGCCACCCAGCGTGGTCTCGGCTTGGCACTGCTTCTCTACGGCCCCCAAGCTGGTGTTGTCGCAGGAGCTGGCCAGCGCCTGCTCTGCCCTGCTGGTGGCTGCCCCACTGGGCTCCGTGCCCAGACTGCCCCCAGGAGGGAGGGCGGCTGTCGTGTGAGGGGCTGTCACAACCTCGACTGCTCAACTTGATGGGAACAAAGAAGGCGCTTCCACCCACCCCAGGGCCTGGCAGAGGGTGGAGGCATCCTGGGGTTCTCCACACATCTGAGAGCCTCCCCTCCAGTTAACAAACCAGGTATGGGAGCACCTGTCTGTAAGCACTCGGGAGGCTGAGGCAGGAGGATTGCCACCGGTTCAAGGCCAGCCTGGGCTACTTAAACGAGACTGTCCCAAAACAAACAAATGAAAGGAAAGGAAATACTGGAGCAGACCACCCACCTCAGGGCTGGTAGGAAGAGGTGATTCCTTGTTGGTAAGGTATCCCTTGGGGTGGCCCTGTCTCAAAGGGTAGTGTGCCATGCTGGCTTCCAGCTTCCATCCCGGGTTCCCAGTGTCTCCTGGTGACCCTGAGGAGCGGCCATGGCACATTCTTCCGACTTCCCATCTTCTGTCCACTCTCTCTCTCTCTCTCCAGCCCTTCCTTCTCGGTTGTCATGTTGACAGTCCTTCACCTGCCACCCTGAGCCTTGGGTGGGTCCCTGTCCCCCATCTCCGGTGGCTGGGTGCAGACACAGCCTCCTCCATTTCCCACTGTCCTGGCTCCTTCTGGCCTTCCCATGGTGTCATCGCCGTGCTATCCATGTGTGGCCTTCTCTCACATGGCTCCTTTGCCTAAAAATCTTCAGGCTTGGGGCTGGGGATTTAGCTCGGCGGCATAAGCGCCTGCCTTGCAAGCAGGCAGTCCTGAGTTCGATGCCTGGTACCGATAAAAATGAAAAAGACAAAAAAAAAAAAAATCTTCAGGCTTTTCTCCTGGGGATGAACTTCATGCAGCCAAGGCTTTCATGAGTCTGTGGTCAGCCCCATGGCCAGCGCTGGCCCCTGGTACCCCAGCTCCAGCCACATCCTAAACTCCACAACCACCTTGAGCCCCCCTGAGCACCCGCCTGCATGTCTGTGGCTGCTTCCTAGATGGCTTGTGTCTGTCCTCTTCCTCCTCCTCCTCGGTGCCTGGTTCACTTGAGGCAAAGCTCCTCCCGACAATGAGCCCACTTTGCCGGCGAGTTTTGCAGACCCTTGGGCCATGGACCTGATTCCTGGACTTGGTTCCCTGGGCTCGGCGAGGGTGCCAGTGCAGGGGGTGTTCCCAGGGCAGGTTTCAAAAACCATGATGAGGCCTGGGGTAGGAGTGCACACCTATAATCCCAGCAC